TGTTTGGTTTCCAGAGTCCTTGATTCTTTCATGAAATTAACAAAAGTGGAACTCCAGCGTCGATCGATTTCAGCCTGGTTTTGCTGTTGTTCCAGTTGTTCTTCTGTTAGTTTCGGAAGTTTATTTAAAACAACATTTTTATCACACGGAATTATACCGCTAGCCCTGAAACCGGAAATGATGTTTTTTGCAGCATTAAGCTCCACATTGTCCAATAATTTCTTTAACAATCTTGGAAAATCGGACTTAGGGAGGACGCCTCTATTTTTTTGCTTCCATTCCGTCAGTAACTTTCTCCAGATTTTTTTGAATGGAGCAAAGAAAGCTACATCCAAAGGTTGTAATAGATGGGTGGCGTTAGGCGGCAAAAGTATAAACTCGATGTTGTTCTGTTCGCAGAGTTGTATAACTCTGATTGAAAGGTGACTGGACAAATTGTCACCAATTAAAATTTTTCTACCTGTGCATTTTCGAAAATAAGGTAAAGCTACTTTCTCAAACCAGTCTTCGTAAACGGCGCCTTCGAACCAACCACTTTTGGTGCGATTGTACACTGCATTATCAGGACCATTTTCTGTCCAAGTGGGGCAAAGATGTTGTGCTCTATATACAACATAAGCAGGCAATAGTTTTCCAGACCCAGTCGCTGCAACCATTATAGATGTGCTGGATTTGCTAGAATCTAATATTCTATTCACATATTTCGTGCCCGTTTTACAAACCACTTTGGTTCTTCCAGGGTCGTCACATAGATTTGTTTCATCATAGTTAATTATGTTGCATGCTGGCACATCCTGTATATTTTGTGACAAATTGTCAAAATAAGCATGAATAATTTCAGGAGACAACTCAGCTCGACAACGCTTAATGTTTTGACACATACGTTCCGTTAAAACAGGATTTCTTTTCAAAAATTTATAAAACCAATCTAGGCCGGGCATGTTTTCCTTGAAACACTTAACTCTCTTACCTTGGGCATCAAGGAATTGCTTCACCAGCGTTCGGATGTCCATTCTTGTAAGGGGAAAGCCCCATTCTGCAGCCTTTTCAATTCCAGAACGAAGACTAAGCTCTTTTTCTTGGCTTAACGCTGTAAGACCTCCAAGACGCATGGGATGTTTATTTTTTATTTTGTTGCAAAGCGTTGCTATTGGCACTTGAAAAGCCTCAGAAGCACTCCTGTAAGTCATCCGTTTGCTTCGCACAGCTTCTATAGCTTTTTTTAGCGCAGAATCTGAGTAATTGCCATAATGCTTGGCTCCCAGCACCTTCTTATATGTTCGACCCATGTTCGAATTCGCCCCTCTGCAAGTAAATTTTTCGTATTTTTTTTTTTTATAAATTACGCAATTCAAAAAAATCAAAAACTGGCTAGTATATCATGTTAAGGACATGTCAGATTATACTTCTACAAAGTTTTAAATTGATATATGCGATAGAGCCAAAGTTACAGGTGTTTGTTTTCAACCTAACCAAAAACTAACCAATTTTATATAAAATTGTAAAATTCACTACGTGTCTACTTACTGCTCAACTAGCGTCCTACCACCACTAATACGCTCGGCCAACTGCCTACTTTGCGATCTACCATTTGAAAATATACGTTAGAGTCGCGAGATCCCATTGGTTTCAAGAAAATCTCAAGGACGATCGGTTGTTCGAATTCAGCAGACGTGTTCGAATTCACCCCAAGTTACGGTAGTTGGCCATTTTTCTACATTCCGGGAGTGATAACTTGCATTATCCATGACTATAACGGATCCTTCTGGAATGAGTTCGATCATCTGTTCGAAGTATTGTTCGAAGACATCGGCATTCATATCCTCGTGATATTCTCCAGAACGGTTAGATATGAAAGGAGGCAGCAACCCACCTTCCAAAAAACCATGTTCGCTGCCAATATGGGTTATGATTAACCTTTTACCTTTTCCTGATAGTGTTTTCAGACCGATTGAATTTCCATCCTGAAATACTTGGCGAGCACTAGTAATATTCTTGTCGACCTATACTTTATTACCAACATAACCTTGGTTGATCCAAGTTTCGTCAAGATAGAAGATGAGCCGATTCTCCCTACGGTAATTCTTGATCTTTCTAAGATAATCTCTTCTCCAAACACAATTTCATCATTCTCTATTAATACAGAAATTCTACCGTGTATTTCATAGCAAAAATTCAGTTCTTTCATTGTGACCCATAGTTTGCTCCTACTGTTTTTTGGTATATCTGCATCGTCTTCTATGGCCTTCAGAACTTTCTCCAAAGTTGGAATTTTTTTTCTGAAATAAAATGATGTACTTTTCTTCGGAGGATATTCAGAACATCTTCATTTAAATTGATTTTTGACTTTCCTGGATGTTTCTTAGGTTCTCTGGAAAAGAAAACGTAAACTCAGATACACTCCATTACTTAAGTATGTGAGTAAGAATGGAAACTGTACGTGAAACAATGTCAACTACTATAGGAGTAGAAAAAATATTAATGTATGAACAAACTAACCTTAGATTTCCAGTTTTTTTTCACTAATAACACTATAAATTGTGTTAGTTGAGTATCCTGTTAGCTCTTGGGCCATGCGCACTATTTTAGCAACCGAATTTTGTGGGTATTTAAACGTCAAAGAGTCGAACACATGACGGTATTTTATTCATTACGGGTTAATGCCAATTTTCTCCGCTTAAAACGATGAACACGCGTCGTGGGAACACTCGAACAAGACATACTATTGAATTGATACATTTTAAGTTGCAACCGGGACACTTCTCAACTTCAACTAAACTAATCTCAATGAAATTGTCTCAATTATAACAGGCTTCTACCTGTGCTCTAACTCTACACCCTGAAAATACTAGGAATTCATGAATTAGATCAATTAAATTCTATTTATGTTTATGATTCCATGTATGTGGTGCGTTCGTAGAAGGTACCAAGAATAATTTTAAGAAAATTCTTTGTATTTGTTAATCATTCAAGCCACCTCTTGATAACGCTATGTTCTCGACAGAAACTAATTTTTTTTTATTGATACCCTATTTCACTTATTTAAAGTACTCCTCAGCGTGTTTAAATCCAACTTTCAAAAACGCGCGTGTTTTAAAGTTACCAATGACAACATCAACAACCAACAACCCGAGAAAGGTCTAAATGTCAACTATTTAATTATTGATTTGTCAGGAGTAGGTTAGGTACTTGTAGATAACGTCAAATAAAATGTAACAAGTGCCAAGCACAAATTTGCATTCTACAATTATTAGTAATTTATGATTTGAACGTATACCAATAAAAAAAAAATAGTGTAAAGTATTCGTGGATAACTGGTCTTTGAAACACTTGCTCTATTTCGAGCACTCGGCTGCGCCGTCGTGCTCGAAAAATCGCGCGTGTTTTAAAGACCTTAATATCCACTTATACTTTAATATACTATAATTACATATTTTTTTTTCCGAATAACAATAAAAGCGGCCTTTCAATGATACTTGACAGGATCAAAAATTGTATTTGCGTTTCTATGCAACGTTCCAGGTATAATTTCACTCAATCTGTATTTTAAATTGATAATGACGATGACAATTAGGTACTAGCTGACGTCTCACACATAACCTCAATGACATGTTTGTCCCCCTTACGAAAGTAACGTTTTGTCATTGGTGACAAGCTAGCGCCTGTGTGTTGAATAGACCTTTCAAACGCTTTGTTTGTCCCCCCAACAGAAGTGAGGTTATGTGTGAGACGTCAGCTAGCACCTAATTGTTGAAATAATTTAAATTTCGATATTAATAATTAATGAAATAAGTATAAACAAAGATATCCATGTGTGAAATTAGAACAAATTCGGAGAAAAAATTATGTTTCACACGGCACAGAAGCAGATTTAATGCCTTGGATGGTTTCCTAGTCTCGGCTATGAAACACCGGCCTCGGCAATAAATCTTGTACTTTTCTGACTAGTAAAACAAATAGTATATAGTGGAGTAAAATCACAATCAAATTATGACTTTGAGTGATTCCGAGTTATAACCAGATGAAACCTATATCATCTTGTAGAGGACACTCTGGGGCATAGGAAATGGGAATGTAGAACTTTTTTTAGCAGGACTGAACTTTGAAATCGGCCCTTAAACGTGACTGAGCTCGAATTTGAAAAACTATGTTTTTCTAAACATTACCCGCTGTATTAATTAAAGCATACAATCTAAAATTCTGATTTTTTGCACACTTATACTTGAAACATGAGCGCTTCTAATGACAGTTCAGAAATTTCGAAAAGGTTTAAGGTTTTTTTGTTAAAAAGTTAGGAATATAGAAATATCAAAATCGTGCATCTAAAACTTCACCCTGCGGCGAGCAACGTGAATTATTGAAAATTTCTATACATATATATCGAATTAAATGTAGTAAAAACATTAAGGAAGTTTTTGAAAAAAAAAAATTAAGTCGCTAACTTTAACGGTTATAGAAATATGAATTTTTATCCGGGAGCTTTGAAATGCGCTCTGATGCTGAAAGCGGCTACCATTCTGGAAATCATCTGCGTTAGTGCGTTAGCGTTACATCTAGAAATAAAATAAAAAAATCTATAAACATAAAGTAATTGATTGAATCCTTTTTTATGAAGTTAGTTTAAATATTTTCTCCTTCGCCATCCTCTTATAAATCAAGTAAGGTAACTGAATACAATATCGCCATGCTAAGCTTTTTATTTTATTTTTTGAAAAGCGAAAGATTATATTATAAAAAATATAGGCTAAACTTATTGTTTAGGCTATATACTAATAGTCTAAAATCGTTTGGCAACATTCTTAATAAGCAAAAAAGATTTTTGATTTTTTTTTTAAAATTTTGCAGATTGGCGATATTGTCACCCAGGGGCTAGCAATATCGCCATATTCATTTTTCAATTTGAAATAAATTTTTGGTATTCCAAAAAAAAAAATAACTTGACTTTTGTTAAATATCCTTTATTAGAGCCATAACATGACAATGTAGTAAAAATACAAAAGTTAAGAACAGTAAGGGCAAATGTATCCTTCTATCTTGTCTTCTTTGGTCAACCCCAGGCATTCATCGTGCAAATAACATTTGCATATAACACACAAGCGCATATCCGCGACTCGGTCTTCTTGGCATCCTTTGCAGTACCAACTTTCCGATTTTTTCTCTTCCATCTTTCCCTTTGGAATCTTTGGTGGATTTTTCTTTGACGTTTTGGCTACTGGCTCCAAAGTCTTGCCCCCGACTGTAGATTCTTTAAAAAGGTCTTTTGTAACAACTTGTGCTCTACTGTTAATTGCGAGATTTCTACGTCGAGTATCATATTTGTGAGCCAATTCTGGCGTAGTGAGCATGTCGGTAAATGAAATATCGTTCTCGTCAGTGCTCTCGGGGTTTTCACTAGTTTCGTTTTCAGATGAACTCTCAGACATCTCCAAGCTTTCTGCCTCAGAATCATCACTGCTGCTAAATTTTTGCAGTTGACGTTTTGAGGGCTTTTTTGAAGGATTGGACAACTTATTCTTAATAGTCAGTTTGGATGGACCTGGAGCCGTAATTGTCAGCTTGGCAGTTTTTGATGGACCTGGAATCGGTGACACATTTTCATTTTGGACTGGTGGCTCTACTGACATGGACGTTTTTGAAGGATTGGACAACTTATTCTTAATCGTCAGTTTCGATGGACCTGGAGCCGGTGTCTTATCTTCATTTTGAGCAGGTGGCTCTACTGGATTTTCAGTTACGCTGCTTGGTGCAAATGCCTCAACCGGTAAAATATCTGGGTTAAACGGGTAGATACCAGTCGCCGAAAACCCAGATTTAATATTGGCGGGGGGTCATGGCCTTGTCCCAAACAATGGAAAAAATAAAGCCAAAACGTTGTTTTGTTAGAGAACGGTCTCTATGATTAGCCCAGTATTTGAGAACTTCTTTCATCCCAGTAGTGCTCAAACGAGCGAAAGACTGCCTTGTCCATTGGTTGGAGCTCATGAGTTGTATTGCTTGGTAAGCAGTATAAGTTGATGCCTAGCTCTTCAGCGACAGTGACAATTGAATGGTCCAAATGACATCTAGCACCATCGAAGATTAAAAGACATGGTCCAGGAGCAAAATGTTGAAGCCATAGCTTGAAGGTTTCAATGGTCATGCTCCCCTTAGGTGTCATTAACGCTATGCTTCCTGGTGGTAAAGAATCGGACCATTCTTGTTTCATTCGCTTCCCCTTAAATAAGATTAACAGAGTACAGACCCATAGCGTTCCCACAAGCGACTATTGTGACATTTTGCCCATGTTCATTTGCTACAAGATGCACTCGTTTGGCCCCGTTCTTTGCAAGAACAGCTTGTTGGTGATGAAGCGATAAGCGGCAACCTCTCTCATCCATATTATAAATACACTGAGGTTTATCTATAATATCAAGCTTAAACAGAATATTACGCAGTTTGGTAAAGTGGTCATTCACTATAAACCGGTTTAGTTTTTGCGCCCTGGCAGGGTTCATGCTCTGAGCCTTCCGCTTTCTAATTTCAGGATTACGGCTGAAAAATCCTTTAAGCCAGTATCGACCAGCCAATTTTTTTTCTTCATTAAACGGGTGGCTTATGTGTTTTACATCGCAAAAATTAAAAACGCATCTACGCAATACTTTAGAAGTTAGCGGATATCCTACTTCTGCCAATCGAATGATTCTTGTACACAATTCTTGTTCTTGTTCTTTAGTGAGAACAGGCTTGCGACCCAAGCCACATTTTGATGTTTCATTTTTTCTCTCAGCGTTCCACGAGGTACGTTGAATGTCTTACTCGCTAAATTTTTGGACATGCCATTTTCAACTGAAGCAATAGCATTCTGCATGTTATCTTCACTCCATTTTCCCCTAAGACCTCGATTTCGTTCTTTAGACATAGTTAATCTGGAAATAAAAAATAAATGTAAGTACGCACCTACTGATGCTAAAAATTAATGAACCAATTAGAAAATTAAATAAAATAGCAAGCTACAATGTCACTGCTAGCAATATCGCCATGGCGATATTGCTCCACCATGAAATTTGCGATATTGCTAACAGTGATGTTAGTCACAATTTTGTTTGTTTACTAAACTTAAAAAACCTTTTGAAATAAAAACAGAATCATAATTAAATACCTTCAACCATACTGTCTGAAATAATAAATTAAAAAAACTACTTACCACGTTGTTTTTTGTGTTAGAATTGGACAAATCATCAACATCTCTTAGATCACCCTTCTTGAAAATATCGATTCGCCGGTAAAATCAACACGAGATTGAAGTTTGAGGTTATAATGCAACTGGCATGCAGTGTAGGTTATAAATTTATTATAAAATTATAATTCGTGGCGCCATCTGTCATAGAGAGGCAAAAAGTACTGCATGGCGATATTGCCAACATGGCGATATTGTATGCACCCACCTTACATTATTTTGACAACTTTTGCAGGAACAATTGCTGCAGCATGTTAAACCCTCTTTCAAGCAGACACATTTATTATTTTGACATAATTTATCTTCGCAGAAGACATTCATTAGTTGCCTTATATCCATTGGTATGGGATCAGCAGTCATCAAAACAGGCTCAAAAATTCCATTATTCCTAGTCCAACCAAAGTTAACAGGGTCAAGTATAGGCATAATTGGTATATGACTGGATATCCATATACGCAGTTGATATATGCACCTGAAATTTTGTTTATCGCATAAATACAGCTTCTTTTGTTTGTATACACCTAGCTCAGTACATGCTGGTAAAATGCATCATCTGTGGGTAGAAGTTCAGAAGCGGATTTATTGGAAGTTGTGGTCAATTGATATCTCAATTCATCGAGGGTTTTTAGAGCCTCGTTCTTATTTCTGAATAGGGCCAGTGCAAATTTGGTGGCAATATAAGGTTCCAAGATTTTTAGAAAATACATTTTTTGCCTTTGCATTTGTGGTATCGCATCCTGTTGACACATGCAACGCTGGTAAACATTTATAAACTTCATTTTCCAGTTTCTGCACTATTTATTGGAATGATCCATTTCTTATTCCCTTGTCATAATTCCATAAAAGGGTAGGTTTCTTTCAAAGAACTTACTTCAATAAACTCAGAATAGTGATAATTAAGTAATACCAGAACATTTGTATCTGCAGACTTCACCAACATTTTTTTTTGGTGAAGTATCTGATATTCATATAAGACGTGGATTATAAGTCGTGCATCAGTCTCGTCGTGATTCGATTTCAAATCTTTCAATTCGGTTACACGGTTACACCATCCTTGTTGACAGAAAAGCATAACTCTGGGTTTCAAAACCACCAGCGATGATCAGAGTTTCTTCTACTTGTCAGCTAAATGTTCCAAAATATAACCAGTTACAAATTTCAATAGGGATTCTTCATTTTCTGACAATTTTAAAAAATTCCGGAACTTCATCACTTTTCTCTTTCTAGAAACTTCATACGCATACGTATCTGCATCTATTAAAAACCTCCGTTATCCTCAGTGCTTCATACCTTCGACCAAGTGAAAGAATTTGCTTCAGAAAAATACATGCGAGTTCAATAAAAGTTAAGTTGAAAATGCTTTATCATTTAGTCCTTGAATAAGTACCATGCCACCTATTATAAGTGAATTGAAGGGGGAGTGACCCAAAAATGAAGTTTTAGTGCTAAAAAATCTAAGAACAAATATTTGAACCGCATCTTGCTACGATGAACCGTTTTCGAGTATAAGGGTGGTGACAAACGCCTAGGCTGTGACGTCACACTGGCTTCGGAGGCACAGTTAAAATATGTGTAAAATTTTCCAAGACAAAAGTCAACGATCTCACTTAAAGCAAATTGCAACCACTTAAAGTATAGGGCACGGTTCAACCACTGAACAAACAGAAGGCTATGATTTCGGCGGTTAGCCGGTGTGACGTCACAAGTTCCCGCAAAATTTATTTTCATGAAGAATTATCTCGGATATATGTTGAATGAAAGACTGCGGTTTCCACGAGAGATTTTAGATTTTTTTCTCGATTTAAGTAGCTTAAGTTGCTTTTTTTAGTCACACCCTTATTTAAAATCAATTGGAAGAGAAGCGACTGTTGAATATGGTTCAAACTTTGATAATAAATCAGACTTAGCTGTTTTTCGCATACGAACGCACAAAACTGGAAAAGTCAGAAAATGCACCTCTCGGTGAATGTACGAATAATTCCGTCGCGACGCGGTTCACGATGGGCTGAGCGCACTCCAGGGCTCTTGGATAAAAACTTATATTTCTATAACCGTTAAAGTTAGCACCTTAATTTTTTTTAAAAAAACTTCGTCATTATTTTTACTACATTTGATTCGATATACAGGGTGTCCATTTTAAGTGATACCACTATTGCTATCTCGGAAGCGGTAAGAGATACGAGGTCGGTTAAATTAGAAAAAAGTTGTCTTTTTTTATGCCGATTCAAGACTCGTTTACAGTGTTGCCGAATTCCTTTTAGTTTAGGAAATACAGGGTGATTTCTAAGAAACGCCTAAAATTATTTCATCAATTATTTTGAAAACTATTGATTTTCGGGACACAATTTAAATTTGAAAGTTTTATAATTTTTATCGCTTTACAACGTGTCATCTTCAAATTTCAAATCCAACGTTTCGTGATCGAGCTACCATCATCAACTTCATTTTTTTAAATACGGACCTGGATTTTTTATGTCATTTTCCCTTTATTCCCCTTTTAACGATATACCTCTTAAGTATGATTAGCCGACGTTTCTGCTTTTAAAGGTGATCATCAGTCATTTTTACCAAAATTTTACCTTAATTCGGCCCTGCAATTCGTTATTTGTAACAAAGGCGGTCTAACAAGTACTCTCTTCCTTTTATTTAGAACACTTAGGGTGGGTATTATAAAACTGCTTTGACAGTTAACTTTTTGAATTACATGTATTTTCAGAAGTTAACTTTAAGTTAACTTTCAAAGTAGTTTTATAATACCCACCCTTAGAATTATCTAATTATGAACAATATCGAGAATAATGACTTAGAAACTAATTATTATTGTGAATATGTACTCAAATTGAAGTCGATTATTCCTTAAGCATCATCTGCAATTTTTCACCATTTTTTTTTGAATATTATTTAATATGTATTGTTTTTCATGCAACCGTCCGCGAAATTCAACTTCGCGGCCGCCACATCTTACGTGGTGCGTATACCATGACCGCGAAACTTTGCAGCATTCTCGAGTCTATCTTGCCTCGGCCGCAAGCAACCAAGGCGTTTCGCGGCCTTGGTATACAAAATACAGATCCTTTCACCATGGTTCATACTTGACCTTGAAACTTGAAAAAAAAGGGGTTATCGTAGATTAATTATTCATTTTATGACATTCAATTTTTTTGACAAATTATGAATGACTTCTGGTTTAAGAACCGACGAACGTTTTTGACGTCATTGATTTCTTTCAGTCAATTTC